CAAAACCCCAAAACCCCAAAACCCCAATATAAATTACTATTAATTGTAATATTCTTATAATAATCAATGGCTTTAAATATAATGCAAAAGCGATTTATATCTAAATCACTAACCAGCTTTAAATATATTAGAAAGCCCTCTTTACTTGTGAGAGGATTCTCAGCTACTCAAGGACAATAAGCAGAAACAGAGTAGCCATTTTAAGAATAATCAGGCAACTCTGAGCAATCTTAAAGTACTCTCTCAGACCCACCTCCTGTATTTGATTATTAAGCCCCAAAGGATGACTCTTATTAGAATTTTCAAAGTACAAAAGACTTTATTAGACGCTATTTCATCCTGTTTCCTCTTGCTGCTTATTGCTTCTACGAATTATGCTTTATTTCCAAGAATAGAATTTCCAAAAATAGAGAGTATAAGCTCTTTGGAGGTCTCTTCCACTCATCAGTACTCGGGCCATTGATATCTTAGCGTATTAGTAAAGCTTACGAGGGAAAGTTCTACAAGCAGGACACAGAGGAAGTAAAATTAGTTCGCAATATAATTGATAAGGTTGTGCTCAGCAATAATCTTATATAGCATGTATCACCATACTACTAGGTGAAGGTGATTCACAATGAAAATATTGGGATGTTTATGAATGTTGATAATAAACTATATGTGAGTGTAAATGTACTTAAAATAGCTGAGATGAAAGAAGAGCAAGTTGCTTTGCTAATATGCCATGAGCTTGCTCATTATATCTTGGATCATCAAATTCAAAGGCTGTTGAATAGCTTAGGACATTACATGCTGAAAGACTTGGGACTGTTCAAGCTTAAAAGTGATATTAAATTTAGAGATCCGACCTTAGATGAATTCAAAAAAAGAACTTAGGTTCAGCATTACTTATGTTTCTATCCACATCAAAGAGTGATGAGTAAGTTTTATGAAAGAAATTGTGATACTCTTGCTATTTAGCTTTGGAAGAAAGCATATCCAGATTGTGATCATCTCAGTATTGTTGAGCAAGTTTATGATAGAATAAATTAGGAAATTCAAAAGAATCCATAGCTTAAAGAAAAAGAATAATTTTAGCCAGATTACAAATATAACAGATTAGAAATTAATAGAAAGTTAGTTAATGCCAAAGTAGAAGCATAGGTTGTGCCAGCTTGAAAGATTAATGATCAAATAACTTAAGATTCTCACTGAGATTATTAATTAAACACTTAATTTCATTATTATCTAAATATTTTCTACAAAGGGGTTTTGGGGTTTTGGGGTTTTGGGG